AGCTTCGTTTTAAAATCCAAAAAGATTGCTAACAGATGCATTTTTTGGCCAGAGAGGGAGAAAAACCTCGCTTAAACAAAAGTGTGTTGTGATTGGAACTAAAAAGGGAATTACCTTTAAAGATAAAAACTATAAACATTCCCTATTGAAAAATACCCCCAGCCATGCCAAGAGCCCGTTTCTCTCAGTCAGCCTGAGAAAATGACACCCGAGATGATATTTCAACCTGCTGCTGCAATAACAGCAGGTATGTCTGGATGCTCAGGGGCCATGAAACGTTTCTCACCCATCCCAGGTGACCCAGGAGCATGGCAAAACGCCGAGCTATTTTCCCTCCTTCCCTTGCATGCCATATTTGTCAGCTTTTGCCCTTAGTTCTGCTACTGCAGCTTTTTTGCTTGATTTTTTTTTTTTTTTTAAATTGTGGGTTTTTTTAAATGAAGGAAATAGATGGAAACACAAGCCCCGTGAATGAGCTGCAGGACTGAGCTACAATTGGAAGAGCGAGCTGGAAAGCAAAGCTCTCTGGAGGGAGCGGGTGGAAGGTGCAGTTAGAGAAGAAAGAGCTTGTCTGGTCGGGAAAAATAGTATTACTGGAAAGCCATCACTCGTTTCCCTATTTATCACATTTTTCCCCATTCTCCCTTTCAAAAGTACCATCGCTGCCTTCTCCTAATGCGAAGGGATCCTGGTTTTATATCTGATGTCTGCCGAAATTTTAGATGTAACCTGTGTTTGCCAGGGACAGCTTCACGCTGCTGAGCGCTACGCACCCAGCGTTAGCAATGCCAATGGGTTTTCAACCCAAGTTTAAAGACTGCAGCATCACTTGGCAGCCCTGCAAGTCACTTTTCCCCTACCCCAGCTTTACAGCTGCTCAGAGAGCTCAGCTGAATCGAAAGGGAGGGGGGCAGAGCCAGACTTCATATTTGCATGAGCTGGTTTTCACTACAGATCCCTTCCACCTGGTTCTTTATGCTGAGCTTCTGCCTGCACACCCCTGTATCCACCCATATTTTGAGGCTCATAAAAATTCCCCAGCGAGCTGCTTTAATAGCTTGACGTTACGTATATCGGCTGGCAGGAGCCAAACCTCCTGTAATTAAGAGGTGCTGCAGAATAAGTGCAAAGTGTTAATTATTAACTTCCTTTGGAGCGTGGCCTCCTGAGAAGCCATCCTGAGTCAGCCTCTTCCACTGAAGCAAAACCCTAGCCAAAGAAACGGTAAAGCTGGAAACCCTCCTGCTTCCTCCCTGTGCTTCCGAGCCATATCCTCTCCTGGAGAGCAGGGCCAGCAGGGAGTGAAATATTTCGGGATGAGGTATGAAACGAGTCATCATCCAGAAATATCACTTCTAAAAGCAGATTCCATCCTGCTGTTAATGCATCTCCACCTTCACATTTCCCTGCTTTATTACAGCCATAGAGGGGGCTGAAGACTTCAAAGAAGGTCTCTCCAATAATCTTTAAATCTCTCTCCTGACCCGAGAGCTGCACGGCTGCTGGATTTAATGCAGACATCAGTTCCCCCTCGGGTTGCTGCCGACAGACTCACCAGCCTCCATCACAAGATGCTTTTTATCTTTCTGCCCCCTGCCCTACCCTGAGCATCACAGGGTGATGCAGGTGGGATGGGACTGTGAGGAGTTCATTTAGTGCAACTCCCCGTTCCCAGCAGGGTCAGGGCTGGGATCAGACCTAGCATCGCTATGGATGGAGAATAAGGGAAGACAAAACCGCCACTCTGCCAAGCCAGTACTGTGGGCTGGGATAAAAACAGCTGCTTGCAGGGCAGAGAAACCAGGATATGGGGCTGCGGGCCAAGGGGAAATATTCCAGGGAAGGAAGTATGCCTGGGGAATAGCTGGTTTTCCCTTATTCCCTCCCAACAAGCACTGCCAAGGCCAGGTGCTGCCCAGGTCCTGCCAGGTCCCTTTCCAGCACAACCGAGCACAACAAAATGTCTCATTTTGGTCACATTGTACCAAATCTTGCCCATCGTGGGAATATATAAAACATGCAACAGCTGGGATGCCCTCTAGAGAGCCGAGTACAGCGAATGATGCCGATGGCAAAGCAGAAGTGCTAGACACGGCACGCAGCAGCAGGGAACATGCTGAAAGGACAGATATTCAGATGCCTTCTGTGCTGCACACACCTTTGCCGTCGATGGAGGCAGGGGAGTGCCCTGTTCGCGTGGGCTACAGCCACAGCGTAAGATATTTTGGAGCCTGGCAAAGCAGATTTTCAAGGAAAGCCCCTGGGAGAAGGCTGGGCAGTGTTTCTGTCCTGCCTCGCACTGCTCTTTTGAGGGGGAGCTTGTTGCAACTGGTCTCAAACTGGACTTTCAGACTCAAAGTCCGACCAAAGTTGTCCGACTCTCAGCAGCTTGTTTCCAACAGGAGCCAAAATTGGCAGCAGAGGAAAGAGCAAAAACTGCTCAGGGCACAATTTTGGATCCTTGGTAAGTCAGGCAGCTGCCTGCAACTGATGTCCATCTTTGCCAGCCCCCTGGGACCCACCAGGTGAAACTGGATGCTACCAGCATCTCAGGCAACAACTCACTATCAAACACAGACAGGCCAAAGGGTTTGGGCGCATCCTGGACTGCCCCAGAACACTGCCACTCAGACTGCAGCCAAAGCAGGGAGGTAGGACCAAGGGGGTCTATGTCTTCAGCTCCACTGCCCCGGCCAAAACCCAGCCATGGCTCTCAGCTGGAGAAGCCCAGCCCCTCCTCTTGATGCCAGGCTACCATGTAAGGGATTTGTCCTCAGAAAAACATAGGTGCATGAGTAAGATTTACCAGGAGCTGATGGGACAGCTGCCAATATCTCTGCTGCCTACTGGTCCTCATCACATAGGAGCAGGACTGCCTAGAGCTTGCCATGCATAGAGAGAGACATGTTCTCCAGCTGACACAATTCCTTGTTTCCTCCACTGCTGGAGCCTCCATTGATACAATCTCACTCACTTTTAATTAAAAAGCAGGAGAAAAGCATTCATCTCCAGCAGCACATCTCCTTCAGAGCAAGCAGTGGCACGTATGCTCTGCAGCTCACCAAGATGGCATCACAAGTAGGGAAGAAGTGGCTGAGAGCAGCCAGAGGAACAAGGACCAGAGCAGAACAGCAGGCAGGATCCGGCCTCGGAGGGGCACCTGCTCCTAGGACCTCTGGGGATGCCACAGGGCACTTTTGTGGCTCTTCCTTCAACACTCACCGGGAGCAGGGAGTTTCTCAGTACGTTTTTTAAAAACCTGTGAGCACAAGGAGGTGCTGGAATGGGAAAGAGGCACCATCAGCCCTATATAAACCCTTCCTCAGGAGATTAGATAGCATGTAATCTCCCCTCACAGTAATAATGACATGGCTTTGCTTGATTTAAGGCTCTGTTGTTCCCCCTTATCCAGATGCACCGGAGCACAGCACCGCTTATCCGACAGGCAGTGATGAGCGAGCATCCCCTGCCCATTTTCTTGTTGATTCAGACCAGTGCCTATAATTTGTTAACATCTCTTCTCCCCTCCGATTTAAATCTCGGGCATAGCAGGCCTCTGTCTAACAATAATATAGGGATTTCAGGGGTATTTATGAGAGGCTTAAAACTTAATCCTACATGAGCAAGGTAAGCCTGCTCTTGGCCTAAAACGCGGCTGGAAAATCTGGTGCCATTGCTACAGCAGGAGAAAAGAGGCATTAATGGCAGCAAGCGCCCTTTGAGTGGGGCCAGGCGACCGCCAGCACTGCCACACCAACTCCTGCAGCCAGGCTAGGGGACACAGCAGCGAATTTGGGAACTGAATCACAGAATAGTTTGGGTTGGAAGGGACCTTTAAAGGTCATCTAGTCCAACCCCCTGCAGTGAGCAGGGACATCTTCAACTAGATCAGGTTGCTCAGAGCCCCGTCCAACCTGACTGTGAATGTTTCCAGGGATGGGGCTTCTACCACCTCTCTGGGCAGACTGTGCCAGTGTTTCACCACCCTCATCATAAAAAATTTCTTCCTTATCTATTCTGAATCTACCCTCTTTTAGTTTAAAGCCATTACTCCTTGTCCTATTGCAACAGGACTTGCTAAAATGTCTGTCCCATCTTTCTTACAAGCCCCCTTTAAGTACTGGAAGGCTGCAATAAGGTGTCCCCGGAGCCTTCTCTTCTCCAGGCTGAACAATCCCAACTCTCTCAGCCTCTCCTCATAGAAGAGGTGTTTCCAGCCCTCAGCCCATTTTTGTGTCCCTCCTCTGGATCCGCTCCAACAGGCTGATGCCCTCAACTGGGGGCACTTCCCTCACAGGCCTCAGCATCCTTCCATCTGCTTCGAGACTGAGGACTTTTGCCTCATTTCTCCCCACAGTGCTATGTCCTGCAGGATCTCTGCTTCGGACAAGAGCCCTTCAATGTCCCAGGGATGACACAGCTTCACCCTAAAAGCAACCTCTGCACCACGGGGCTAAAGCTGTCACAGTCTGTGCTGCAGGGGCATGGCCTCCCCATTTGTGCCATCCTCCGGGAAGAGCCGGTGGGAGGACAAAAACAATGCCCAATTCTGTTTCACAGCAGCAAGTGGAAAGCCAGGGGAGGGGGAGGCTTTTGGACAGGCTGTAATCAGGCCCCCAGACATCAGCAGAGAAGAGCAGGGCCATGAGAGATGGTGACCAGGGCAGCCCCTTGCCACCACAATGCCAACCTCAGTGGCCACGGAGCTTCACGTGGCCCTGCTTGTGCTGGCATGGATGAGCATGGGGTGCTGGACACCCATGCAGGGCATGGGGACACCTACTCCAGCTTGAATGGGCTCGGGAGGAAGCGCTATGCATTTTGGAGACTGAAGACCTCGCTGGTCACCCTTACTTCCCCAGGGAACAGAGGCATTTCTGTGACACCCCGAATACCGCTCGGCATCCCAAGACAGCTGTGTCCCTCCCCATGTCTCCTCCCTGCCCTCCACGGGAGGGAAGGGGCTCAGCCCCTAACCACAATGCAGACGGGTCTCTTACTTTCTTCTTGCTGCAGTAGATCTGCCACTTCTTCTCCGCTGGCAGCGCGAACATGGCCTCTCTGTGCTTGTCCGTGAGGTCAAGTTCATCCTGGAAAAAAAACCCAGAAAACACACAATATGAGTACACAAACAGGTGATGGCACAGACACAACCCACCAGATAAGCAGCGTAAATCAATGTGGGGCCGCACCAGAGCGCAGCGGTGGTCCCACAGCATCGCCCCGTGACTATCGATTTGTCAGGGCAATGATGCTAATTCTCATCCTGCTGTTGCTGACCTCCCCCTGACTCCTGGGCTACAGCCGACTGACGGGAGGATGGGGCTGCAAACCTCTCTGTCTCATTCCTCCCGGACATTGCTTTCATTGCTTTTAAAGGCAGCAAGGATTTTAGAATGGACATCCATGAAGCCATTACAGCTGCCCACAAGATAGCCTCATACAGACGATTGAGAGCTCCAGATGATAGACAGCATCAAAGACACGTACAGGAAAGAACAATTCAAATAGGACCTTTCTTTTTGGCCACCACAGATAATTGCTTCACTGAGCAATCTGAGTGGTCCAGGACATTTCCATCGCTGACACCCTCATATCATTGAAAACTGGAGGTTTTTTTGGCTTTTGGTTTGTTTTCCTGTAACTAAAAATAGAAAGCTGTTTTCCTAATATCTACAGTTCATGAAGGGGTACATCCCCACCATCAAAACTGGACTACGTAATGCCTGGCAGAGATAAAGCTGTTTACTGACTGAAACCTTTATTGGTTTATCTGATGTTATTTTAAAGGACACATCCATTTTCAACTTCGAGGCTCAGTTAGCAGTGTGCCCTCCGCCGGGATGCTCGAGTATTATCAAAGCCTCGTCGCTTCCTGGTGCTAGATGTAGGTCAAAGCTTTTATCAGAGAACTAAATAAAACATTCAGGCAGGGCTGGGAGGCTCGTTGCTAAAGCCAACATTGATCTTACAACCATGGATGTCTCTTACACCACCACTGACTGATGACAATCCTCGTGCTGGAGGGGTGTTGGTGCAGCAGTGGGAGTGCTGGAGGTGCTGCAGAAGGTCACAGGAGAGCCCTGCCATGGCCTCCAGCCAACTCATCCTACCCTGCCAGTGGATTTAAGTAAGAGGTTCCCCATTAAAAATTACACACTTAATTCCATCAACTAAAAAAAGGCAAAAAAAACCCCACATGGAGACCCTTTAAAGTTTCTCTACCTGAATAATAACGCTTATCAACTAAAGCTGGTAGCCCCTGGTACCCCAATCAAAGGTAAAAGCCCCATTTAGTGAAGGCTTAGCAAGATGCCTATGGGGAAAGAAGGGTGCCTGCATGAGTAAGCCCACAGGCCATGAAGAAACTTAGCTGATCTAATTAAAGCTCATATTGCACCCAGTAGCCAAGGAAGGGAGCTTCCTGCTATTTTGTAACCCAAACTCAACGGCTCTCTAGCACAACACGCAACAACGGAGGGCTGCTGGTGGTCCTGAACATCTCAGAAAGGCTTATACATCCACTCCAGGTATTGATTTCATTTCTCAATGAACTGACTCCTCAAAAGGGAGGGTGTCGTGGAACTTTTTCCATTATGTATGCACGGAGGAGCTTTGCCTCTTCCTTGACTTTTTCCTCCCATATTGACTGATTCTTCAAACCACCGTGCTGCACAGACCTGACTGTGGTAGAGCTCTGGAAGCAGACTTGCAAGACACCCTTACACCAGAAATAAACAAGCTGCTGTGACAGAGGCTTGGAAAAAAGTCAGGACTGAGAAAGCCTGAGCCCAGTCTGAGACACCTCCCCTCCCCCTGCACCTAGAGAGGAGAACCTGGCTTAGGGACTCCTTCAACAAGTGCTGCTTTCAAACCTCCCCATGTCCTCACAATTTGGGAGGTCAGGGATTCATATCCAGCAACCTCTCCTTCCCAGCCCTGGGCAAGTCTCGTCACCCTTCCATGCCTCAAAACCAAAATTGCACTTGATGTCCTTTGCTGTTGTCTCCTCAGGCTACGAGCCAGCCAGACACCCAAGCTCTGCTTCAGCCCCGATTCAGCAGGTCTAAAGGCAGCCAACAAGATGACACCTAACACAGGGACCTGGTTGAAATTCAGCTTGGGGGTGTGTGGGAGGACAAGGGGTTTCTGATGAATATTCACGTCCGTGATGATGGTTTGAGTGAGGGCAGTTATGGGCTTCCACTGTGACCCCGCTTCCCTGCCATGTGAATCTGGGATTCAGGCATGAAAGCACCAGCCACACACATCTGTGCTTAGGTTCTTAGAAAAGTATTTACTGAAACTTTCAAAATGCCCATACCCTAAAAATATAACTTGTACAAATGTGAAGATTTATTAATCAGGAAAAAAAAAAAAAATCTAAACTGAGCTGAAGCCTAGGTGGGAGCAAGAAGGGATAAAGCAGAAAAACATACTAGGTGCTGGTACATGACAACGCGCAAACACATCCAAAAAAGGTGCAGAAACACTTCTGAGCCCCACACTGCATTGTGCCCTGGCTTTAACATGTTCAGTCATCGCAGCCCTGCATCACTCAGCAACACGCACCTAATATATCTTGCAGGATGCTTGGGAGAGGTGTTTAAATAAATCTTATGTGGCACCCAGTGAATATGAAAATCCTCATAATCAAACAGTGAGTAATGACTGTTATTCTGAGTTGCAACAATGACTTAACCATGAAAAATCAGGTCTCTGCTGGCTTTATGTGTACGGTGATTCCTGCACCCACCTCCAGCCCTTCGCTTAGGCTCGCTGATGGCTCTCAGTACTCCTTGTGCCCAAGCAGGCTGCTCAGAAACTGCCCTTCAAACTCCAAAAGATCAAGGGAGGCCAGTAACATCAGCCATTTTCCGGGGGCTCACAGACCACTGTACAAACGCACTCTGACAAAGCCTTTAGCAATTGCATGGTGGAGTCGTAGCGCAGCAGAGAAGCCGTGCACAACCTCAAACCCATATGTGCCTTCAATTAATAATCACGAGCTCGATAATTAGGTGATTCTAACTGGCAATTAATTTTATAGGCCATTTGCAAACCATGCACTCCCGCTACAGCGTGCGATGTTGGCAGCTGTTGAAGAGTGAGAAGACAACCGGTGGGTAGGTGCCCATCACCCCTGCAGCCCTCACCCCTCACTCCAGCCTCACCTTTCACAGCTCTGCCCCTTCCACCTGGCTGTCTTCATGGCAGGATCTGCCAACTTCACTGTTTTAAATATTTTTTGGAATCGGGTCAAAGGCACATAAAATAACAGCCTCATTTTGCTACCAAAGGAAGTCTCTGCCCAGAGTGTTTTTACTGGAAAGAGATACACTACTCTTAAATATTTATCCTGTACAGTTAAACTATTCACCTTTAGATCAGGAAACATGTTTCCACACTAAATCTTCATTTGAATATGATACTAAAAAAGCCTCATGGGGGGAGATTTAATTCTCAGCGTGTATTTGCTATTCTAGGAGGTAAAATACTTCCATGCCCCTTGCTTTGCTGACGGCTCTCTGCTGAAGCCAAGCAAACCTCCCTCTCTCTCTGAGCACGGCACTGGCTCCAGTGAAGGCGATCTCACACCATTCTCCTAGAGCTGCCTTAGAAACGTGTGGCTCGGCTCAGCACGCTGTGAGCACGATACCATGGGCCAAACAAGGTTTTATCAAGTGATCTATTATCTTTCCCTTGGAGGACACACAGAGGTGCTCGGGGTGGATGGTCCCACAGTCCATACCTCCCTGAACTGGCAACCAGGTGGTATGAGGAGCCCTGGCAACTGCAGGTGCTCTGGTCCAACCCCCTGATCAAGCAGGGCCACCTAGAGCCATCGCCCACAACCATGTCCAGATGGCTTTTGAATATCTCCGAGGCGGGAGACTCCACCACCTCTCTGGTTTACAGACACCGTAGTCTCCAATCACCTCCTGATGGCAAAGCCAGATCAAGCAGAAAAGCGAGGCATTGCTGCTCGAAGAAATATTTCACCCTCCCAGCAGAAAGGGCATCAAGTCCAGCCCCAGACTCACAGCACGGTCCTCAGTGCAAGCTCCTGTCCCTGCCACTTCACCCATGACACGGTGGACATTTTAATAAGCATCTTCCATGGGCTAAGAGCCACAGGCTTTAATGGGGGCAAGAGCAGGAAGACCACTGTAAATCTCTTGACTTCAGAAATTACCTCCACAATGGGCTCTCGGAGACGGGTGAGCCTGAGTGCTGCCCACGCATGGCTGCAATGCTCCAGCATAACCACCATGGGTTCTTCCCCTGCATCCCACAGGTCACACTGGCCACCAAACATTCTGCAAGTAGCTGGGGAGTAGAGCTTAAGTAAGGGACAATTACCTATACAGGGGTCTCCACCCCCAAAATATCTTCAGAGGTTGTAGTAAAAAGATGAAAAACTTTTAAGTCTCACGCACCTTTCTGGATGATAAATTGTGTAACCGTAATACATGGAGGAGGTGGGGGAAAATAAGAAGGTCACCCATTGCCGTAATTGAAATAAAAATTAATTAAAATTTGCTCGCTTGTTTGAATTTACATATATGTTATATACACACACACATATAAAGACATCACCAGATCAATAAATGACCAACACAGAAGAGCAAGTGAATTTACTCCTGATGGATGGATGAACAGAGTTTAGAAACTTCTGATGTGAGACTACAGCACATAAAGGCAAGATCTCCTGCATCCTTAAATAAACCATGAGATCCAAAATTGCTCAAAAAAAGAAAAAAAAATAGAAAGAAAGAACCAAGCGGCAGCTCTTTGTCAACATTTGGCATTAACTGGTACAGCATGGGAATAAAAAATAAATAAATAACGGCCTGCTGAAGCCTGCCTCGGCTTCCTTTCACAGGGGTCATATCGCTTTTTCACTCTCTTCCAGGCATTCTTCTCCAAGTTCATCAATTTGATTTATCCCAGAACGCTGCAGTGTCAAGGGAAATGGCAATCAGCATTTTTCCCCCCATACCTCATCTAATCTTCTTCCGCTGAGCGAAGACGCTGCCCGCCCGGCCAGCTGCCTGCCCAGGACTGCCAGCCCCGACTGCAGTCTGCA